TTTTATCATCTATCTATCTTAATTGAAGAAACCAGGTTGTTTGTATTGTAGGAATTTCTACAGTCTGGATTTAGAAGATTTTTTCCCACCCCCCACCCCACTCCTACCACACGTTCTCTGGCACCTTAAGTTGGTGGTTAGATCCAGAAGCTTGATCTCCTCTCTTTGGCAGGATCACTTCATAGGTAGGGTTGTGTTACTTCCCTTATGAGGTACATAAGAGGTATATAACATATTGTTGTCTTTCTGTGTGTGTGATGTTAGGAGTTATTCATGATCATTGCTTAAGATCCATTATTAACTCTTTAGGGGTTGCAAATGGTGATGTTCGAATTCTTCCCTTCTTCATTTATTAGCTGAAATATTTTCATAAAGAGAAACTTTGCTGTTATCAACACTTTGGTTACTCTGAGGTACAGTATGTCTAGGAAGGGCAGTGGACATTCTTAATTTTTTTAACTTTGTTTCAAATAATGGTTCTCCACCATTCTTCTCTGGGGCTAATGAGTTTTTGTTGTTTGCTTTTATGAGTATCAGCATGAGCTCATGGATTTAAGCGTTTTTCATGTGCTTCAGTGCATTACAATTATTTTTCTTATGCCAAACTTTGGTCATCTTTGGCCAATTGGAGTCTATTCAGGTTGGGTCCTAAGTCTCTTGCACATACTCAAATAGTCTTTGCTAGTTTCCATGCTTTCTGGAGTGACAGGATGTTTCTGGCTCTTCTTGTAGAGTTTTTCCCCAACCCTGGAATCAGCCATTTCTCTAAGTAGCCCTGGCTCCTTTTAGTGGGAAATGGTGTTTAGAGACTATAGTCTAGGCACTAGAGGCACTCATTGCTGCTGGATTGGTTATTGTTTCTCAACTTTGATTGGACCAAGCTAGAATACCTTTTTTTTTTTTTTAAAGGTAAACATATTGTGAGTGCTTTTTGGGTATTTACAGTCCAAATCATATTGAGGACACTAGTGTTTTTACTTAATCTCATTTTTCTTGCATCTTTATCTCTTACATCTGTATCTTTTTTCTCCCATCATCTCTTCTTCTTTCTCCTGTACCTAATCCCAGTTATCATTGAAAACATTTATTTGTTTTATCATATGTTATCAACACTGTCACCCATAATGTGACTTCTGNGCCTAATCCCAGTTATCATTGAAAACATTTGTTTTATCATATGTTATCAACACTGTCACCCATAATGTGACTTCTGAAAAAAATTTAAAATTTTCTTGCTGTTCATGCTGCCCCACATATCACAAAGGGAATGTGTTTTCAAATTATTTTGCTTAAAACCACTGTTAATCATTCTCTTTTTGTGTGGTTATACCAATAACTGGATGGACATATATTTAGGTACATTTGCTTTATTTTACTCTGAAATTTTAGGAACTGACTTTTAAAAATTTATTTGTTTTATATTTTGGTGTAATGTTTTCTTGGTTCCAAAGTCAAATGAACAGAAGAGGCTGTTTTTAAAGAAGGCTGTTATTCTAGTGCCTTCCACTTTATTCCCTCTCTCCTTTTAGAGGTAGCTTTAAAAATAAAATATGTTTCATTTTTTTCATTTTGTAAATACACTTAATTTTTCCAGCTGTGCAGAATGGACGGTCTTAGTTTCATCCTTGGAACTTCAGGGCTTTGGGTTCATAAGGGTTTATTTGGAAGTGTGGTATGTGACCTGTAACCCTGATTAAATTCCTTGTGTCACTTGTAAGATGCCATGATGGTGCAGGAGAGGCCAGCATGTGCTTACGTGGGGTTAGTCTCTGCACTGTAGAATCTTCCAGGGAGAAGGGACTTCAGGCTTAATCCCTAATCAGTTGACCCTAAACCAGTCCCTGGAGGCTGGGCTTGGCATCAGAGTGCTTTTACACCTCCCAGGTGAGGCTGACATGCAGTGAGGGTGAAGATCACTGATAGAAAGAGAACTTAACGTGTATCTAGAATCTTGATGGTATTTCGCCGGACACCCTGCTTTCCTTCCTTGTCTCTAATCTTTCTCAACTCTGCCTTTGCCACTTGTTCCTACATTTCTAAAAATTAACTACCTCTACATTTTTTTCACCCACAAGCTTATTCTTTTCTACTTAAATGTTTCACTTGAGCATTTTTTCCTGTCTGATAGCTTTCTGTTTCCTGTATTTTACTTTATTTTTTCTCATAAATCAGTTGTAGTAAATAGAGTTGGACAAGAAACCTTTCAAGTAAATGGGGGGAACATGGTGGAGGAACTGTGCCCTCTGGGGACAATTTAGCATACAACCATGTAATAAGTTAGCCTGAGAAGCAAGGGATGGGGCTCACCTATCAGGTTCCTTAAAGAGGCTGGATACCAAATATTCCATTAAGAAATATCTGCTTCATAGTCTCAGAGACTGTATTAGAATCTTGAACCACGGGGCATTGTGGTATCGTATTGGGCTCTTTTAAAAATCCCTTTAATGGGATTTTTGTGAAGAAATAAGGACTGTATTCCAGTTGGTTTGTGGGAAGAATTTTCACCCGGTCATAGATTGGTTTTGAAGATGAAGAGATTGTGTGAGTGACTTTTGACCTTGTTTCTGCTATAAGAAAGTTTAAAAAAATTTTCCCCCCTCCAGTTTTATTGAAAAACAATTGACATATATCACTGTATAAGCTTAAGGCATACAGCATGAAGGCTTGATTTACATATATTGTGAAATGACTGCCACAACATCTTCAGCTGATACCCATCTTCTCATATAGATACAATAAAAAGGAAAGAACGAAAACAGGAAAAAATAATTTATCCTTAGGATTCAGTCTCTTAACTTTTCTATCGTCACACAGCACTGTTAACTGTAGTCATGCAGAGGTTTTAATTTGGTTACTTTCAAGTTTGATGACACATATTTTCCCAGTTGTTTTATTTCTTACTCTTAAGATCTAGAGTAGACAGATGAGTGGGAAGGTATGGGCCATGAACTGGCATTACTCATTAGTGAGCTTGTTTGCTTTACTGGATTGTTAAATACTGTCTCTGAGCAGAAGAGTCCAGTTGCTTAGGTGGTAACTTTTTGCAATGGGTTTGTTGCATCTATCAGTATTCTCTCTGATGGGTGACGATACTTGAACGTTCTCATATAATTATACTAATGTTAGGCTTAAGTGGGAGCTGAGTAATAGGCCACACTGACTCGCAGAGAGTTGTAGTTTTATGGAAGTTTGGGATGGCAGGTGTTACCTCTGGGCTTCAGGTGGATAGCCCCAGGGTTGTGTGCCCTTGGCTATACCTGGGTTGGGACTGCCCAGGTGTACAGTTTGACATTCTTGCTTCGTAAGCCTCCAGCTTTTCATCTCAGTAAACTCTTATTAAAGTTTGTTTTACGACCCACTGCATTAGGGTTCTTTTGTAAATTATCCGTGCCTCTTGGGGTGAATAGAAGGGCGTGCTGGAAAATGTAACAGTGAGTCTTTGTTTTCTTGAGATCTGATTATCTTACTCATAATTCTTCAGCTAAACAGTGTTCCCTTACTTCTGTATAGTGGATGGAAACTTCCATGACCTGTTAGAAGGTGAAGCCCGTCAACATGTGTGTACTTGTACATACATAGGACAGGGTGTTGTTGGAGTTTTAGTGTCATATCTGTTTGAGGGACAGGGGCATCTCTGTAAATATCCCGATAGGGTACTACTAGTTGGTTGAGAAGAAAATGCACATTAGTTTTGTTTCATGTTTAGTTGTTTGGATTCTTCCTTCCTTTTGTGCATAGCTTTCTCACTTGGGGCAGATAGGAAAGAGCTATCAAAGGTAAACCTGCCCATTGTTTACATGTCCCTGTTAATAAGGAGGGATTGATTAAAAGGAAATGCTTGTTTCACAGTCCAGTTCTTGAAAGGTTTCCAAACTTTTGGCATTTTGTCTTTTGCAAAATCTGTGGAGGAAATGATGTCAAAGGCCTGTGTGTTTACTTTTGGTGACTTGGATTTGCACTGAGTGTTTGGTTCCCTTTGATGGGGAGAAGTGTACCTTACACGGGAAGAAGTAGTTTGTGGGGTGGAGTGGCTGTTTGGCAGGGAGGGGCAGTTTTGCTGTTTCTTTGCTTTTAGTCTTGGGGAAGAAAAGTACTTCCCCTAAATCTTGTACAGGAGGTAAGGCCAGTGACTCCCAACTCATTGGTGTAGGATTTTAATTTTTGCCTTCGGGAATAGATGGTTGTTAATATTTTCCAAAACCAGTACTTGCAATGTATGGCCGACAGAAAACCACTGATGACATTATTTTTAGCTTGGCTTCTACCATGTTTAATTTTTGACTCCAAGGAGGCAGTACTTCTGGGCACATCCCAGCTTCTAGGGGGTAGAGACCTATTAAGGCGACACCCCATGGGCCAGATACCCTGGGAACCTCCCAAGCCTGGTTCTTTAATACTTTAATAAAATTTCCTTTTTAATATTCCAACAGCAGCTGGACTTCATTCTCTTGATCTACCTGCATGTTGAACTTGGGTTGGGAAAGATTGAAAGTTTCTCTTTTCTGATCTGTGTTTGAGCCAATATCTCAGTTCATAAGGCTCTTGATAGTACAAGGAGGTGGCAAGAATATGACTCTTGAATATGATTCTTGACTTTCCTTTGGGCTGGGACACTGAGAGTACAGAGGAAACAGGCTGTCCCTATGTAAGCAAATTTCTTACCCTTCTTTTGTCACTTTTTTCCTTGTTCATCTGAGGCCAGGACTTATTTGACATTTTGCCAAATGCATTCTAAAGCACTGATTGTAATATTTATTGAGCATCTACAGTGTACCAGGCGCAGTGTACTAAAGCTTTATTGCCTTTGAACTTAAAATTTTGGTTTAAGTTTGAAACGACTGCTAGTAGTAAAGAAGGAAGTAGTTCTATTTTTCTTTTAGATTAGTGGTGAATGTAGCCTTTTTTAATATGCTGATAATAAAAGTAGAGCTATGATAAGAAAAACTGGTATGGCTTATATTTCTAATTAAGGCTTTTTAAATTTTTCTTTTCCCTTTTAGGAAGGCACCAAAGTAGTCCAGCCCCTATTTTTGGGGAAAATTATTAGTTATTTTGAAAACTATGATCCCACCGATTCTGCAGCTTTGCGTGAAGCCTACGCCTACGCCACGGTGCTGACTACCTGCACGCTTCTTTTGGCCATACTGCATCACCTGTACTTTTATCACGTTCAGTGTGCTGGCATGAGGTTAAGAGTAGCCATGTGCCATATGATTTATCGGAAGGTAAGTGTCATTTGGTATCAAAATGTGCACCTCATCTGAAGCATCAGAAGCATTTTGGAAAAGTTCTACCTAAACTAAAAATTTTGTAAAGAGAACCATTTAAACCTTACTTAGAGAAGCTTGATATTTGCATCAGGCTATATATATATTTTTTTTTTAAAGCAAACTTTACTAATATGTAATGAGTTTTCTATTGAGATCAAGTCTGGGCTGCCTTTGATAACATTTCGCCACAGGCTGTTGCAAAATACTAAATTTGTAATAGAATCTAATAAAAAAATAAGTATCAGATTAATTTAGGCATGAAAAATTTTCACTATTTTCATGCTTAAATCTCATAGTTGTATTTATAGAAATTTTATTGTTGTTCATTAAAACCTTCATTTACATCAACGTTGTATTTAAAAGTGACTGTCAGTGAAATTGGATCTATAAAATGAAATCTAGGACAAAAGATGTATTTGAGAAAGGAAATGATAATATATTTTTAAATGAACCATTTAATTATGTTCAATATAATTGTGTTAACTAAAGAAAAGTGTAAATTTAAGCCAAGTATAGACTCACTTGCTATTTTCTATAATTATGGTAGTTTTTAGTAGTATTAAAGAAAAAATTGGATGTTTGGGATAAAACTTTAAATTTGATATTGTTCTTAGTAGTTTTGGAGAGAAGGAATGGTTTCATCTATTTTATGCTGCTTTTCATTCAAGTTATTATTGTGTATAGTACTTTCTTTTCCTTCAGTGTGCATGGTAGCAGTTTTAGTGATAGGACCCCATTTGATGTGTTCACTGCTTTTGTATTGAGAACTGCCATGAAATTATCCCATTATTTACCCTGGTCTTAACTTTTGTAAAAGGAGTAAGGATTTCAGGTGTCTTGACAAAGGAGTTGCCACAGATACCCCAGTGTCAGGAGCTGAAGAGCTCTTCATAAACATGATCCTGGATATCTCTTTGCTGAGGGCTGTTTGCTTTAAAAAAAAAAACACACACCCCAGTTTTATAGTATTTTATATTTGAAATATGCTAAGGGAGTAGATCTTAAACTGTTTTCACAGCGCTGCCCCCACCTCCCCACCAGAGAATTTTATAAGGTGATGGATATTCTAATTAGTTTAACTGTAGTAATCATTCCCCAGTGTATATGTGTATCAAAAGATCATGTTGTGTACCTTAAATGTATACAATTTTTATTTAAAGGAAATCCTCATTGAAAGATAAAACCTGGTATATAAGTGTTGCTTCTTTTACCTAGTTGCCACTTATCTAGAGCTTCTGTTTCTTGTGAATACTTTTCTTGTAAAATGGAAGATGTCTTCTCCACATCTTCCTTTGGGCTGAATCTTACTGATCTTGGAATTGTGTGAATCCTGGAAGCCTGGCATTTCATTGCCTGGTAGGCCACAGTGTGTCAGCCTGGTTTCCTCTTCTGTCACATGGAAATGGAAGTGATGCTGGTACTCTTGACTCAAGGGGTCTCCATTGTCGTTGTCATCATCATCTTTGTTATTCTGTTGCACTTCTTTCTGCTCTTTAGGAACATACTTAGATTTCTCTGTAAATTAGCTATATTTTGTATTTCCAGGTCATGTTTAGCCCCCATAAATAAACAGGAAATTTCACTAGCACTCCACTCTGTAAACCTTAAACACTGAAATCAGGTTTGAGGTGATGGTTCTAATAAAGCTCTGCAGCGCAAGTGAGTTGTTGTCCACCTGTTTTTCTTCCTCTCCTCCCTAACGCTTTGGAACGTCGCCTTTGGGAAATCCGATCTGACTTAGCTCATTCAGACATCTCCCATGGGTATAAATTTGCTTGCTTGATTAGCCTTAAAGAATTGACCCTTTACTAAGTTAAGAATTGCTTGGGTTAAACCATAGACATAACCTGAAATTCCAGAAATGTGAGAAAGAGATTTTCTCATGCACTGCCTTGTATGTAGAATCCTGCTGATGTGAGAAGAAATAAGATACTTCATCACAGGTGGGCTGATTGTTTAGGGCAAAAGCTGATGCTGCAGTGCAGCTCTGCATGTCCCTTCTGTGAACATTTGCAGTTTATGCTCAGACCTTACCTCCTAATCTCCCACCCTAGGAGAAAATCAGGTTGGGCGTTATAAATGGAATGGCTGTTAAACTCATAGTCGTAGTTTCTAATACTGAATGACTTTGTGGGATGTATCATATATAAAAATGACTTGTCATTTGTTTACCTTTGCACAGCTTTGGTAAGATTACTTTTGGTTTTTGATCACTGATTTTTTTTTATTGTGGTAAAACCATTTTAACTCTTTATTTTTTAAAAAAAATGTTTTTATTGATCTTAGAGAGAAGAATGGAGAGGGAGAGAGAGATAGAAACATCAATGATGAGAGTCATTGATCACCTGCTTCCTGCACGCCCCCTACTGAGGATGGAGCCAAAATCGGGCATGTGCCCTGACCAGGAATCGAACTATGACCTCCTGGTTCATAGGTTGACTCTCAACCACTGAGCCATGCTGGCCGGGCTTGTTTTAACTCGTTTTAAGTATAACATTTAGTGGCATTGACAACATTCACATTCGTGTGCAGCCATTACCACTATTCATCTCCAGAACTTTTTTATCTTCCCAAAGTGAAACTCTGTACCCATTAAACACTAACTCCCCAACCTCCTCCGCACAGGCGTCAGCATTCTACTTACTATCTATATGAATTTGCCTATTACAGGCACCTAATATAAGTGGAATCGCACATTATTTGTCATTTTGTACCTGGCTTATGTCATGTAGCATAATGCCTTCAAGGTTCATCCATGTTGTAGCATGCGTCAGAATTTATCTCCTTTTTAAGGCTAATAGTTCTTTATAGGCATATGCCATCTGTTGTTCACCCAGTCATCTCTCGGGGACACTGGGTGGTTTCCACCTTTTCACTATAGCCAATAATACTGCTGTGAACATGAGGGTACAAATATCCTTTCAAGTCCGTGCTTTCAGTTCTTTTGGGTACACCCCAGAAGTGGAATTGTTGGACTATATGGTATTATTTTGTTTAACTTTTTGAGGAACTACCATACTGTCCTCCATAGTGGCTACATTATTTTACATCACCACTTGATCATTGATTTTTCTGTTTAAGTTGATACTAAATGAAGCGAAGTTTTGATGAAGTTTTGTTTGGATCAGTAGTTCCAGTTGGCTGTCTGTTGAAACAGCTCATGGTGGTCTCTTCAGTTCCTCAAAACTTTAGGGCATGTTTCAGAACATTTTGCCAAAGAAACGGATTGTGCAGTGCAGGCAGTTTTGTTGTTGTTTTTTTGTAAAAAAGAGATTGGTGTTAAGAAAACAAGTTCCTTACACAGTAGTGTTTTGAACATTGTACTTGCTCATTTTCAAAAGTCACCACCAGCCACTGGTTATATTGTCAGCCTGGGTTGCTGTCACCCCTGTGGTGGGAACAGTGGCTCACTTCCTGTCTTTGTTCTTGGCTGAACACAGAAGAAGGAGGACATGTCCAGCTTCAAATCTCAAAGGGCTACTTCCCCAGCTTAGGGCACAGGAGGTGGGGCCAGGCTGGGGGAAGACAGTGGCTTCAGGCAATGTGAGCCTGGATTGGAGACAGCTGACAATTTCAGTCCCTGTCCCTAGTGGGAATGTATCCCTCATCTGCCAGCCCTGACCTTGGCCTTGGGTCTGGGTGCAAGTGAGCCTGAATGTTACAGGTCTCTAGACCCGGGGCAGGCAGAATGACAATCTCAATAATCAGGATGGTCTTGCCATATTTCACAGAGATTTGTTTGCAGTATAAAATGCTTACAGTACAGAGATTTTTTTTTTTTTCAGATCTTTAGCTTAATTGGCTCTTAGGTTTCCTGACGTTGTGTCCAGATTGCAGAACTGTAGTGGTTCCCACAGTGGGTCCTCGTGATGGGTTGGTTTGCTCTGAATGCCAGGTAAAGCCAGAGCAGTCAGTCGCTGAGCTCACTGCTGCTGCTCTCTGCTACGTGTTTCCTGGTGCAGATTTCCTTGCAGAATTGAATCAGTTTGGCCAGACTTCTTATTCTGGCTAAAATCCTATCTTCACTGTTTTCAGAGTTACCTAAAGGATAGTTTGTGGGAGAGTATTTGTCCTTTATTTCAACTTCTAAGACGAGTTGATTCCCTGCAGTCACTCTCGTTTCCCTGTATTCTTTACTGTAGATCTGCCTCACAAGAATTCATGTACATCAACCCTTGTTTATTCCCAGCTGGGGCTGAACAAGATGGCACTCTGCCCTCTGCCTTCTTGTTGCAGTTCTCATATTGAAAACAGGTGTTGTTTTCATGGTCTATTTAGTGTCTGTTTTCTGCAGTTTAGTGCTTTTGTGGGGGGGTGGGGGCTGGGGTTGCTGTTTAATATGGTCCCACACAGACTGCTCCAGTGCTGTCTAGTGGTCCTAAACACAAGAAGACTGTGACGTGCCTTGTGGAGAAAATACCCATATCAGATAAGCTTGATTCAGGTGTGAGTTATCGTGCTTTGGCCACAAGTCCAGCGTTAATGAAGCAATATTAGATATTAAATTAAGTTGTCTTTAAACAGAAACAAGGTTATGTGTGCATTGATCAGTTGATGAAAATGTTACCAAAGGCTGGCAGAAACCTAACCCTGTATTTCCCCTAGGAGCAATTAGTATTCACTAGTCATGTTCACAGTGACTTTATAGAACATAACTATTGTGAATAATGAGAATCGGCTGCTAATATTTATCTGATACATCTCCAGGGGATGATTTCTATAGATTGGTATACTATTTAGAGAAATATTTTTACCCACCTTAGGTAAGTGTATTTTTGTTGTTGTTGTTAATCCTTACCTGAGGATATGTATTTTTAAAAAATATGTTTTTATTGATTTCAGAGAGAAGAAGGGAGAGGGAGGGAGAGAGAAACATCAGTGGTGAGAGAGAATCATCGATTGGCTGCCTCCTGCACACTCCTCACTGGGGATTGAGCTTGAAACCTGGGCATGTG